AAATGTTTGCACTTAATGACAATAGCAGATCCTCCCTTAATCTTAAAAAAAAAAAAAAAACATCATCCACTTAGGATAAAACAAGTTAGTAATAATACAGAGAAATGTATATATACAATTCAAAGATATAGCCATGTTAGTCTGCAGAATCAGTACGTAGAGAGATCTTGTAGCAATTTTGAGACTCATGCTACCAATTTCTTTCTTTCATTTAGTCTCAAAGGTGCTACAAGATCTCTCTACATACTGTGTGTGTGTGTATGTGTGTATGTATGTGAGTGTATATATATATATATTATATATATATATATATATATATATATATATATATATATATATATATATATATATATATATATATATATATATATATATATATATATATATATATATATATAATACCACTTGCAATGTAGAGCTTTGATCATACTAGCCAGCCCACTACAGTTGGCTCTCTGTATCTACAGATTCTGCATCCACGGATTCAACCATCCATGGCTTAAAAATATTCCTCCTTCCAAATCCAAAAAGCAAATCCTGATTTTGCTAGTTTATATGAGGAACACAATTTTACTAAGTCATTGTATATAATGGGATTTGAGCATCCACAGATTTTGGTATCCACGGGGAGTCCTGGAACCAAAGCCCAGTGCTAAGCAAGTCTGTATGCTTAAATGAACTTGCTGTAATAAATCCATGTGGAATATAGTTTTAATTACTTCCAACAGTATTGCTGAATTGTTTAAAAAGAAGAATACCATAGGAAAATTGCAATATAGTATTGAGAACTTATTAATATATAAAACCTTGGTAAGGCACACTGTAAAAGCAATAGATTGTTTAGATGCTTGTTCTTGGAAGAAGCACTTAGTAACATTGAACAATACTGAAGACTTCTTGATTAAAGAGCATTTTACTATTGAGAATTGGTACGCAAACCAAACAATCACAGTGGACCATTTCTGAATGGTCCTTGAGGTCTCTTCCTGTTATTTGTGTGAGTTGAGCAGAGCAGATTGTGGAAACCTCCACTGCTGAATCCTTCCTTCACTGTGAGTTGATCTCCATCAGCATTCTGGTGCTGATCTTACCACCTAAGAATGCAGCTCCTATGAAACAGTCCAAAGGCAGAAGATAACTCTCAAGAGGCACATTTTATTCTTTAGTTGCAGTAAATATAAAGTAGCTATTTACAAAAGAAATTAATCCATCAGCAGACAGGAACAAAGAATCAAAAAGAATCAATAAGCTAACTAGCTAACCAGCAGCAGAAGAAGAACACAGCTCCCCCCCCAAGCTGAGGGCTCATTTGATTTGTGGACACTAGTAAACAGCCTCAAAGTCCAGCCCTCCTTGTGACTCATAGTCACGTGGGTAATGGTTCTCACAAAACATGATGACCTAATATGTTTACAGCTAGCCTGTCTGTGTTCCCAGGCCTACTTTGTCCTTTACTATCTTCTGTGTTGTTTTGTACTCCACCTGCAAGCAAAATGTTTCCCAGTTAGCAGACTTTCCCCACATCTGTACCCTTCCACTCTGACTACAAAACCCAACATTTCCAACTCTATGATTCTATGTTACAGTATAAATGTTAGTACTACTGTTGCTTATGAAGAAAAGCAGAGATTCAATTCTTTCAGAGATTAAGGGCCTTTGCAGACTTCCAGAAATAGTGCAAATTGAGTCCACTTTAAGGGTTAGAGTTAGTGCTAGGGAATCATGGGAATTGGTTTTTTTTCTGAGACATTGAGCCTTCTCTGTCAGAGACCTCTGGTGCCACAATAAAATACAGTCCCATGATTCCCTAACCCTAACCCTAAACCTAACCCTTAAAATGGACTCAATTTGCACTATTTCTGGCAGTCTGCAAAGGCCCTAAGAGAATCTAAAAAATCAATTAACAGGCAGCATAATCCTCCTCTGTTTATTCACACTTATATTAGTATATATCTATTCAAAACAAAGCCCTATTAAGTACAGCAGGGCAGTGATGTTGAACCTTTTAGGGGCCGAGTGCCCAAAGTAAAAGACCTTCCGGCATTGGGTGTTACCTGGTGCCAGGGGCGGACCTCTGCCCTCTGGAGGTGGGACTTCTGGGGCAGGACTTCTTCCCCCAGCCACAGGTGTTCAGCTGCCTTCAGACCCAGGGGTTGAGGGGGTAAGAAGAGGAACAGCCAGATGCCTTTTCCTCCTGCCCCCTGCCCCCTCCTGGGCCTTCAGCAGCCTCTCCGGAGTGAGCTGAAGGCCCAGAATGACCAGGAAGGAGGAGGAACAGGAGTGTGCCTTTTCCTCCTCCTCCACCCACACCCTCCTAGGCCTTCAGCTGCTTCTCCAGAAACAGCTGAAGACCTGGGACAGTAGGGAAGAGGAGGAACAGGTATGTGGCTGTTCCTCCTCTTCCCCACCATCTCAGGCCTTCAGCTGTCTCCAGAGAGGCAGCTGAAGATCGGGGAGGCCAGAAGGAAGAGGAGGAACTGGCGCACACCTATTCTTCCACTCCCCCCTGCCCTCTCAAACCTTTAGTTGTCTCCAGAGTGGCAGTTGAAGGTACAGGAGGGCAAGGGAAAGTGAAGGAACAGGTGTGTGCCTGTTCCTCCTTTTCGCTTCCTTCCCATGCCTTTAACTGTCTCTGGAGAGGCAGTTGAAGCAACAGGAGGGCAGGGGAAGAGGAGAAGCAGGTGTGTGCCTGCTCCTCCTCTTCCCTCCGCCCTCCCATCTCTCCATATGCCCTCCAAAATGGCTTCATGTGCTAGAGATGGCACACGTGCCATAAGTTTGCCAACACAGCAGTAGGGCTTACTTCATGTAAGTGGGCATAAAACTGAAGCTTTAATCAAGTGAATCATTATATATGGAGAATTCACTCAAATGACCTCACACACTGGAAGAACCTCTGAGAACATGGTGATAAGGAGTTGTGCTACACTTGCACTTCCTACTACAGAAAGAAGTACTCATAGAATCATGGGATATTACCACACAAAGCTAAAAACCAGAATTTTAACAGGATAAAAGCATCTTTGCTTGGTACTTATCAGACCATGTTGTATCTGTCCTGCTACTGCCCTGGTACTGTAGTACACCTTTTTATTGGTGGGCAAAACCCATCAATGAGCTCTCAGTGTCACTATTATAGTGTATAGGTATTTTGGTGCTAAAACTGTTTTCACTTCAGTTCCAGCATTACAGCAATCAAGTGGCAGGTTGGGGCCATATTCTCCATATTCTTCTCCTCTTTCCTGCTCCCACTTGCTATTCCAAAGCAGGGTAACTTTGTCCCTGTCATTTTTTTTTAAAAAAACACCTTTGCTGTGGTTGTGTACTTATGCCAAAATGATAAAATATAATAAAATAAAAATAATTTTAATCATTTTTAATCATTTTTGCCATAATAACACAAACACATCTAAATTAAAAGTAAATAAACCAGCAGCCATGGAATTAGCTTGCTTTGGAATAGAGAGATGGGAAGAGGAGGAGGATCAGCCCCCCTCATGGCATCTCATGGCTTTAATGCCAGAATTGAAGTGCTCATCACACAGGGGCAGGGAGAGGATTCCAAGCAGTGCAGCTGGAAAGAAGAGACGTGTGATAACAAACATTTTCAAAGCTCATTGATGGATTTTGCCCATCAATAAAAATGTGTATTACAGTACCAGGGCAGCTGCAGGACCGACATGACATGACATGGTCTGATAAGTACCAAGCAAAGATGCTTTTATCCTGTTAAAATTCTGCTTTTTAGCCTCATGTGATAATGTCCTATGATTCTATATCTATTTCTTCCAACAAAAGGAAATGCAAGTGTAGTACAACCCTTTGTCACAATGTTCCCGTGTCCTTTCATAATGTGATTATCATGAGACACGAGGCTAGTATGATAATGTTTACAGAATCAGAATGATGGATGGAAACCAAGGGCTGTCTTGTCAAATCTCTCTGCCAGTACAGGAATACACAGCTAAAGCATTTATGAGAGATGGCCATCTGACCTCTGCTTTAAAACAGCTAGCAAAGGAGAGGCCACTGGCCTCTGTTTTATTCTATTCTATTCTGCTGTCAAAATAGCTCTTCCTAACATTTAGTTTTTGTCACTCTGCCTGGACACATTCCAACTTGTTGATAGCCTTCTTAAACTGTGATGTCCAGAACTGCACAAAGTATTCTAAATGAGTTCTGATGAAAAAAATACAGTTGTATTATTACAGCGTGCCTGCACCATATGCTGGTTTGCCATACATGGGCTTGAGATCATGCAGATGGCGAGCCCCAGTTGTTTTAATGGCACATGCCGGAGCACACCACCATTAAAATCAATGGGACTTGAGGTCCTGTGGTATTTTGCGGTGGGGTGTATGTGTGTGGAGTGGATCCCCTGCGTATAACAAGGGTCCACTATACATCTCTTGATCTGGATGCCATGGTTTGTTGAGGTGGCTTAGAATTGCATTTGCTGTTTTCACTCCCACATCACATTGTTGACTTTTTCTAGCTTGTGATCTACTAAGAACCCCTAGATCCTTTTCACACAAACTGTTGTTAAGCCAGCTGTCACTCATCATGTGCATTAGATACTTCCCACTTTACAGTTATCCCATTTAAAATTAATGTTTCTGTTTAGGCTCCTTTAAGATTGACTTTAATCCTGATTGTCTCTGGAAGTGTTAGCTACTCCTCTCAGTCACGAACCATTGGCAGATTTGATGAGTATGGACTCTATTCCTTCACAGTGGTGTCACTAAGGATGTGCGGGCTGTACTGGGTGACACCCTAAGTGAGGTGACACCACTGGTCCCCAAAAGTTGAAAATGTGGTCTCAGTGGGTAGAAAAAGGAGGATCACAAGGCTAGCATCTCTCCCCACTGAACATGGAGGGCATGGAGGGGTAGGCAGCTCAGAGGTTGAAAGAAGGAGATTTCTAGCTTGCTCATAGATGCTGTCAGAGAGTGTGAGAATGAGAGAATGTGACTTGCCCAAGGTCACCCAGTGGGTTTACATGGCCAAGTAGGGAGTTGAACCCTAGTATCCAGAGTCCTAGTCCAACACTCAAACCATTATGCCACACTGGCTGTCTTGTAACTATACACACACACATGCATGACACAGTTATAACCACACTACAAGAGGAGTGAAGTTACCCCTTATTATGTTACCTTCATAATGAAACTTAGTTATTTGTTATTTATTACAACAAAAAATGAATTACAGTTAACTAATGTGTAACTATTTAGTCTTAAGCCCTGCTCTTTATGGTTAAAATATCATCTTGAAAAGCATTTAATTTATTACAAAAGGGAAAAAGAGTTATTTCATTGTTCCCTCAATATCTATTTTATTCTCTGCTAAAAATGTGTGTCAGAGCATCTGCCCTCATTCCTTCTTTTTGCCCCAGGGAATCATATCCTCTGAATCTGAAGCTCAGTCTTGCACCATGAAAAATTGTTATTTGTCACTTGTAGATTTATCTTCCATTAATGTGTCTAATCCCATTAAAAAGACATTTCAAATGTCATGCACCATGATGGACTTTTAGTGTTCTAGAATTATATTTTGTCAAACACAGAACTAGACCTATGGTGTTGGTCTTCTATGACATTGTCACTTGAAGATTTCAAAACAACAACTGCAATCCTGTTCAGCAATTCCACTAGTGCAAAAATTATTACTCAAGCATTGAACTTCCTTAGAGGTTGTGTAAGTGTATTTGCTAGTGCAGCCAATTGTTCTACAAGCACACAAACAGGCCTTTAGCTCATCTGACTTGCTGGGTGGGCAATGGATGGGATCAAGTGTAAAGGCCTTGGCATTATTTGTAGAACGAATTGCACAACTGGTATATACCAGTACTTAAAATGCATAAGATCTCATACTCTTCAACATTTCACAGATGAAAACAGAAAGGTGTGGTTCAGCAACATAAACAGTGTGATCAAGTTATTAATGAGGAAGAATAGACAAGCTAGGACAGGCTACAGCAGTTTGTTTTTGCCTGAACCTACTGAGAAGGGCAAAATTTCATTGTCTCTTCTCCCCCCCCCCCCGTTGAATTAATTGGGTGCAAACTACTCTTGCATTTGAACTCAGGGCTGATACAGACAACCCACTTGGGGCAGCAGAGAGATGCCCCAGGGAGCGGCGGATCAGGGCTGCAGCACCTCCACGCCATGGCCCCGATTCTCCCTTTTGCCAACCCCAACAGAGTGGCAAAATGCCACTCCTTTCAGGGGTGGCAAAAGGCTGACCTAAGGGCTGGTGCTGTGGCTCTTCCATGCCTTTTTGGTGCAGCATGTACACACGCTGTGCCAGGAGGGTGTCCTGCTGCCGCGTGCTGTGCGTACAGAAGTGCAGCATCAGGACAGCATCGGGGTGGAGTTGGGGTGGCTGGCATGTGGCTGACCTGCCCCAACTCCACCCCCAGGCCATCCCTTTAGGACGGTCTGTAAAGGCCCTCAATTTGAAGCAAGTGAAGCAAGTGGAAGACAGAGGAGGAGGAGCAGGAGGGAGGCAAACTGGGATATTTTGAAAGCAGCTGAAAAAGTGAGATGACAGAGGATTAATCCCCTACTAAATCAGGACAGCTGGAGAGTATGAAATCTTAGCTAGTGTTCTTGAGTGACACTCACTTGCCATATACAAAGGGTTCTTCCAGCACCTTTGAAACTTTGTGTGAAAGAAGTTGTAGCACAAGCTTTTGTAGCATTCACTCCATGATCTGAGGATGTAGACATCTACAAAAGCTTATGCTATAATTTATTTCACCCAGTTAGTCTCAAATGAGCTACAAGATTGTTGCCCAAAAACATGGGTCCTGGGAGGGCACCCATGAATTGTATTAGATGGGGAAATTAATTTAGCTCAATAGGGTGCAGTGAGAGGGCCAGTGTAAGGAACTCCAGAGGCAGGTTCCAAATTAGTTTATTTTATTTATAAAAAGGGGAACCAACAGACAGGCAAAGCACACACACACACACATGAACTAAGATATAAAAGGTGCTAATAGATAGCGATTTTTAGGGTAGGACAGTATGTTACCAATTCTAGAGGCAATGTTCCACTCTGGTGAAAGCTATGTGTTGAATGTGGCTCAGCACTCTCCCTTGGCTGCAATACTAAGAAGTCAAGTCCTAACTGGACAGAGTTTCTGCCTGACTTCAAACTGGATGAATGTGAGAGTGCCAAGTGGGCATATTTATGGAGCGAATAGTGTCTTGAGGTAGCTTTCCAGGAATCTCAGAAACAATGGAATTCCCAGCTGGTTGATGGTTTTAACTTCAGAGTTACAAAAGGAATTTATTGGATTGATGGTGGTGTCATTGATCTAATCAAGCAGTGATAAAATCAAGACAACCCCAGGGAGTCTGGGACAGGATGAGGTGCTTGGAAATACAATGGAGGCTACCAGGGAGATTGCCTTACTGCTTTAGGCTGACAGACTTCTTCATCTTTGACCTTCAAGAGGAAATGCAAATAGCAGGGGGTTGGGAAGAAGCAATTCTTACAGCCATTAAGTTACATGGGACCTTTCCACATGCCCTCAGTTGTTATGTGACTACTCATGAGAAGTCCACTTAAGGTCATCATGATCTTTCCAGGATCATGCTATTGGCCTCTATGTAACTGCTGTCAACAAAATATGACAAACTATTTGCACCCCAAAATAACACAGGGTATCCAGGGTGTGCTAACAAGCTCCCTTTGCATACTGATATTTCAGATTAACATAGCCATGTCTCTGAATTCTAATGCCATGTACAGTTCTTTCTAAAGACCCCCCCCCCAAAAAAAAGGCCTGTTGCATTTTGTCACTGGGGTAACATCTTTGATATGTTTTACGTGGAGGAGCAGCCTCAGACAAGGAAAGGGAGAGAAGACTCCAAGATAATAGTCTGCAGTCAGAGCCAAATGATGCTGGCAGCTCTTTCATGTAACTGTTGGAAACAGAGTTTGGATCATTCCATGCAGCTCCTGAAGCCCATGAGGACAAGGCGTTAGATGTTGAATCACTTCATCCCTCTGAGCATTACAGACTAAAGCGCAAATAGCTAATAGAGATGTTAATCTTCAAAAATTTCTGCACATTTGTTGTGTGCCTGAAAGTCAGGTTTTGATTTATGACTACCCTAAGGCGATCCTGTCATGGTTTTCTTGGCAAGATTTGTTCAGAGGAGGTTTGCTATTGCCATAATAATAATAATAATAATAATAATAATAATAATAATAATAATAATAATAATAATAATATTTATTTATAGCCCACCCAATCACGAGGAATCTGAGCAGGTTACAGCAATAAGAAATACATAGAATACAATAAAATTCAAAAATTAGTCCCTTTCCAACCCCCCTAACCCAATACTAAAATTACAATTAAACGAACATAATTTAAAAACAAAAATACAAAAGTTTAAAAAGGGAGACAATTGGTGGTCAGAGTGACATAGATCACCCTGTGTGCGGGAGTTAAGTTGGGAAGGCCTGCCGGAAGAGACCCATCTTAAGAGCCTTTTTAAAGGCTGTAAGAATAGAGATGTGATGGATCTCCTCTGGCAGGTCATTCCACAGCTTTGGAGCAGCAGTGGAGAAGGCCCTCTGGCTAACCAATGTTAGCCTAGATTTTTTTGGCTGTAGTAGATTCTTCCCTGAGGACCTTAGTGTGCAGGACAGACAATATGGAAGAAGGCAATCCATTAAGTATTCTGGTCCCAAGCCATGTAGGGCTTTAAAGGTAATAACCAACACCTTGTACCTTGCCTGGAAACTAACTGGCAGCCAGTGAAGGGACTTCAGGACCGATGTTATATGGTCATTATAGGAAGTACCCGTAATCAACCTGGCTGCCATATTTTGTATATATTTTGTAATCAAGAGGTTACCAGTGCATGCACTACTGTTTCAAGGTCTCCCTGCTCCAGGAAAGGGTGCAGCTGGCTTATCAACTGAAACTGATAGCAAGAGCTCCTGACTGTCACATCCACCTGAGCTGTCAAGTGAAGCAACGAGTCAAGGAGCACCCCAAGCTGCAGACAGAGTCCTTCAAGGGAAGTGTGACCCCATCCAGAACTGGCTGACATAACTCCATTCCTGGGTTCGAGTTTTCTATGACAAGTACCTCCTTCTTACCTGGATTCAGCTTCAGTTTTCCCTCATCCAATCCATTACATCCCCAAGACAGGCATTCAGAGGAGAGATGCCATCCTTAGTCACTGCATCAGTCTAAGACATAGATAAATATATCTGGGTGTTATCAGCGTACTGATAACACCCCGCCCCATGCCTCTGGATGATCTCACCCAGTGGTTTCATGAAAATATTGAATAGCATTGGGGACAGAATCACACCTTGAGGGACGCCCAATTTGAGCTTCCTGTTGGCCAAACAACTGTCCCCAAGTGACCATCTGGAACCTACTTGAGAGATAGGACTAGAGCCACTGCAAAGCAATGACGCTGACACCCAGCTCTCTCAGGCATTCCAGAAGGATACCATGCTCTATAGTATCGAAGGCCACTGAGAGATCCAAGAGCACCAACAGGTTCATACTTCCCCGGTCAATGCCCAGATGGAGATAATTGAGAACCATGGCAGTCTCAACTCCATATCCCATCCTGAATCCAATTTGAAATGGATCCAGAAAATCGGCTTCCTTCAAAACAACTTGTAGTTGATTGGCGACCGCCCTTTCGATTACCTTTCTCAAAAATGGTCACAGTGAAACAGGTTTATAATTATTTTTGTCCAGGGGGTCCAGGGAGGGCTTTTTAAAGAGTGGTCTAACCATTGCTTCCTTAAGACAAGAGGGTAGGGACCCCTCCCTGAAGGATACATTAATTATGTTTTTCAGCAACAATTTGATAGTATCACCCCCTCTGGACTGCCAACCAAGTTGGGCAAGGGTCGAGAGGGCAGGTCATCTTTTTCAAACTACTAAGAAGCTTGTCCACGTCCTCAGTACTTACTGACTCAAATTGATCCAGTCTAACAGTAATGGCGGAGGCACTGGATACCCCTCTAGTTACTACTGACTTAAAGTTGGCATCCAGGTCAGCTCTTATCCGAGAGATTTTATCTG